AGTCTTAAATTATCTTCTATGTGTGAGACCTGTGGGCTCCTCATCATACCGGCAGTGTATAGTATCGCGATTAACACCAATTAATCGTCTCACTAATACACAGACAAAGATTGGCCCCTAGCAAGGCATCATGGCCATCGGATAGATTCGGATTCAGCAAAATAGCTACCTGTCAATGATATGGTTACCGTACAATTCGATCCTTTCATCATACGTTATCTCGACGAGACGAAGGTATATAAATAGTGTCAACCTTCGGTTACTCTCGATATTATGTATTCAATTTCTGGACCAATGACGTGTATTATAAACTGGATAAAGTAACAACTCAATCCCACTATGGCCACAGTTTTAGTATCATTGCCATATATTGAATTGCGCCGTGAGATAACTTCTCCTGTACCCGGGAGTGATGAATCCTCTGTCTATCCACCATAGTCTTGATACATTCCTTGATGCAGCCAATCACTACTGTATTGACAGCTCTGAAAAGAATGCGTTAGGCTAGTGTCAAACTACACCAATCGGTGCACAAGGTGCTCCGATGATCTTAAGTCTAAGGATCACATGCACCACCATTCATTAGAGGATTTATTCCATAGACACTGGGGTTACCATTTATATGGAATCCTCTAGTGGGTTAGTCCAATGAACTTGCTGCGGTGTATTCGCCTACAACAAGCACCCATGTGTTGTACCAGGTTGTCACCAAACAACCTCAACAAGTGAGATCAGTCACTGCCTTTTGACAGGGTCATTCAACACTATGATATCCTTACCGTATTATCTGTGCCCTCACTTCAGAATAATACTAGGGCTACGGATGTTTCTAGAATGGTCACCATATGTGCTCATAGGGTTCTCACTATCAAGATTTGAAACACTTGATACCCTCGTCACGGTTCTACCATTCTAAGGACATATATCAATACATATTGCAATAATAATGATTCACGCGATATATAATAAAATGCCTTTTATTATTGATTAATGAACATTATTACAAAGAGTCAATTCTACAATAATTGATTGGGTCTAGGGCATCTACTCTAACAATTTGGTAGGTGGCTGTGCCCCCACCTACGCTCCTCCGACAAGGGTGTCACTAGGGCCCGCCTCAGCTAGTTCCGTGGCGCCAACTTAGGGAAAAACAAACCCCCTCTCTCTCAATGACCTTGGCACTTTGGGTGGCATATTCGTTGCATGGAGGTACTGTTAGTAAAAAAGTTTGCTACAGGCAAAAGCAAAAAGTTTGTAAGACTACGGACACTTACGAGTTAAGGTTTCCAAGGTCGCTTCTGAGTTGAAGAAGTCGTACTTCCTTAAATTTGTAGTTGTTACTAGTGATGGCAATGGGCCGGGCCGGGACCGGGTACCCCTTGGCCCAGGCCCAAGCCCGATCTCATGACACAGGCCCAAGCCCGGCCCGAGCCCGCTACGGGTATGATAGGCAAAGCCCAAGCCCAGCCCGACGGGTTTTTTATAACCATAGGCCCGGCCCAAGCCCGCCTTTTTTAATAATGTTTATTTTTAAATATTAATAAATTTCAATTTTTTTATTTTTAATTTTAGAAATAGTTTTTAAATATTAATTGAAGCTATTTCCGCAAATAATTTAAGCAATAATTGAGCAATTAAAACTCCATAATATTTGATTATACTAACTTTTCAGCTTTGCATAATATGTTATGGTGAAATCCACTTTTACAAGTTGAACCAAACCCATCTAACTCATTTAAAGGCAATTTTAACATGTTAAACCTTCAATATGGGATAAAAATTGAGGTTAGGGTTTGGGAAAAATAGATATATATAGGATAATTTTGTAATTAAATATATAGTATAAGGGTAAATTAGTAAAATTAATACTAAAATTTTCGGGACGGGTCGGGCCTAAAGATGTACCCATGCCTGGCCCGTACCCGAGGTCGGGCCTTAAAATCAAGCCCAGGCCCAAGCCCAAGCCCGCCAACCTCGGGTAAAGCCCGCCCCTTTCGGGCCGGGCCGGGCTGGGCCGGGTACCCGAAAATGTCGGGCCCATTGCCATCTCTAGTTGTTATGAGCAGTTTCACGTCGTTACAATAATTGGCAGGTTACCAAATGATACTATTCGATTGAAGTCAATGAGATCTGTCAACCTGGTCGACTTGTTTTCTGTGAAGAGACAAGAAAGATCGTTAGAAAGCAAAGCCAAAAAGAAAAGAAAAAATTCACTAAGTACACGAAGGGAAGACCTACTCAGTTCCCTGAATTGGCAGATGTCGTCGTAACGAAAAAAGAAAAACTTAGTCTCATACGCCCTAACATTACTAGGGTAATTAAAGATACCTATCTCGATCAAAAATCGCTTCGAGGGGTAATAAAAATCCTGATCCTTGCTCTTCTTCAAGTAATACGAGCAAGCGAACTCTAGCGCAGTCAGCTGACCGAGGCCATTCTCAGCGCACGTGATATACATAGCCATAATTATCATATATGAGTTCCGCATCAGCTACAGAGGTGCGACCTCGAAGTAATCCATTATCGACCTGATAAAGGGGTGGAAAGGAATTAATGACCCGCATTTGAAAATGCACTCGGAGACCGCGGCCATTCTCTCTAGGGGATTTCAAGCTGTGTACAACCTGTATCAGAATACGTCTATGCTAAGTGCGTATTGGTCTACCACCCTCTGTATCTCTTCTGGGGTGGCCACTGACAGAACCTCCAGTGAAGAACTCGCTAGGGCGTCCTACGCCTATGAGCTCGTCCCCTTATTTGTTCTGGTCGTTGTAGGGTCTATCTCTTCTACAATCTAAAAAAGAGGGACAAGCAGAGATTATTCAGTCTCCATACAAAATTTTGTACGACAGTGTGGAAGAGAAAAACCCTAATGTATCTTCCAAAAACCCTAAAAAATCCTTGGGGACCACCCCCAATGATTCGTACCCTAAAAACCTATTTCTTACAGAAGACTAGCCATAAACACCCACCATTATCGCCTGAATAAGCCATATTTGAAGCAGAAAAAAGATAAGTAATGGAAGGATCTTCCTTACCTCTCGGCTATGGAGGGTGAACTTCTTACTATGAACGGAAAATGCACACCAACTTGAAGGATTAAAAATCTGGTCTCGCAAGAGCTTTTTGCTTTTTTTGAAAGTATGAGTGTTGTGACATTAGTTAAGGCGAGCCTGAGGTTTTATAGTGGAGGAAATGGAGATTGGTCTTCCCGAAGCCAAGCGATGTTCGGGCGGAATGCATCTCTCACCGTTGATTTCGACCACGTGTCATCAATCGGCGAGAAGGAGTAACCGCCATGCTTCGAGAAATTCAATCGTTGCTTCTCTCTATTGAAATAATCGAGCGACGGCTCGATTCTCTCCTCCACATTAAATGCGCTCTCATCTGCATTTAATGCCCTGATAAAGAATGTCATTTCAGCATGGCTTGCATTTAATGTGCATGACTGACACTTATTGCGCACAGGACACGTTTGTCAAAATAAAGGATACTTCATTAATGGATTAGTTGTCAAGCGCAACGGATAACGTTTGAAGAGATCATTGGAATAGAACACTCTTCGTCACATGTCGGTTGCGGAGTGATGTGATTCCTTGCCTCCAGCAGAAATATGCTAAGTGTAATTAGGTCGCGGACCTCGGTTAAGATAAGATGTGCATCGATATGGCACTGAGTAGGGTCTAATCTAGGTCGTCAACTTTGCGGAAGAAGACCATCTCAAGTCGCTCATAGAAAAATGTTGTACGACCTCCTTGTAGCCAGGTCAGCTCGACCAGGCGTCATTTGGGATATATCAAATTATGGCATAATTATGAAGTTCTCAAGGTTCGATCCTTAAACCTTAAAAACTAAGGGACTTCTGTTATGCCTGAAAAAGTAGGGCTGATGTAGAGTCTCGTCAATAAAGGATGGTCAGAGAAAGGGTTTTGTGTCGTCCAAGTGCAGCCACATCGCGCCTAGCATAAGTGGTATGACTCCTGTCAGTGTAACAGGTGAGTGCCAGGCCAGCAAGCGGCTGGAAATCGCCCACGTGTCAAAGCCCTGCTTTAGGAGAGGAAATCTCTCAGGCAGGTGACCAATGGGACGCAAAGGAAGATTTGCACGGCACCTACCCACTTGTAGCTTTTATAATCATTACCTTGAACTCTCCCACTATAAATAGAGGATTTCCCTCTCATTTGTGGGGGATTGGCTAATTTTGCGCTGAAATAACTCTCTCTCTCTTATATTCTCTCTCTAAACTGTAACTCAGCTCACTGAATGCCACCTGACCTCTATCTCTTATTAATACATTAGAAGTGAACATAGGATTCGCTTTTGAGCATCCGAACCACTTTAAATATTGCTCTTTACCTTTTATTTAATTTAATCCTCTCATATCATGTGTGACTTCTAACCCTTTTTAGTATTTTACACGTGCAACTAGTTAATGTCAAAATCAAGTATTAACAATTTTGATGATGATTGTGAGTTTTAATGTTTGCTCTTTTCTCGTTTTTAAGGTTTGAAGTAAATTATAACACTTATATCTATTAATTAAAATACCATTTCAAGTTTGAAATGAATTAAATAGTTATGAAGACTATTCGCTTCAGCGGAGCGATAAAAGCTTATCGCTTAAACGATAAAGTTTCTGATTATTTAATTTATTTCAAAGTTGAAATGGTATTTTAATTAATAGATATAAGTGTGAAATTGACTATTGAAACACCATTTCAAATTTAGAATAAATTAAATAATCACGAATTTCATTACTCAAGCGACATATTGCTTGAGAGAATGTCGCTTGAGAGATAAATTTATAGATATATCTAATATCAAGGGATACAAACAATTTAATCCATTAAAACAATTTATATCCAGGATCCCTAGTGATAATTGTCTCGCACTCTCAGTAGACTAAATTGGTCGCATCTCATAATACTAAATTAAGTGTAAAATTTACTTAAAACCGTAAGAATGAAAGTATAAATAACCCGCTGACGGAACTACTTCCATTTTCGACAAAATAAACTCATTCATAAATATGGTAGTTTAATAGCATAGCGAACTCCATATTATTCAGGTAAGCATAAAAGGTTCTTTAAAACTCACAAAACCATAAGATGACAATGAAACAAAACATGTAGCAAACCGCTAACACCAACAAGCAAACATACTTAATAGATAGATAGCCTCTTTTATCTCTCGCAGTTGACAGCTACTCAGGCATCACCGTGTCCTATCAATGCCAGAAGTATTTTTTCATAGTCCCCAGTGGTGTCCTTGACAATGGCACGATCGAGAGGAACACTGTTCCTTTTCTGATATTCTTCTTTAATGACCTTCATGTCAATCTCTGCCCTTGTGGTGACAACTCTGGTCAGAGCTCCTTCATCTGTTCCTTGTCTATTAATTGCCAAACGAAGAACCTTTTCGAAGTACCTCTCAGGGCGGATCAAACATTTAACTGTGGCCCTCAGTAGTGCAAGGTACTCGTCCTTAGGATCAGTCTTCAAGTCCTGCAAATAGTGCCAAGAACAGTAAAATTCTATTACGGGGGTGATTAAGAGAGAGAAATTGACTTCTCAGGAAGTTGAAATTCCTGGCCGATAATGTGCTAGGAAACAAGTAATTTAGTTAGAAAAGAATAATCCTGGAAAACATCTTGCTAAATACTGCCTTTGAAGCTCACAATACCTTGTTGATATCATTGCCAAATTCATTTTTGTAGTGATTCAAAGTTGCATTAATCTGTGCTTTGCTCCTTGTAGCCAAGATCCTGATGAGATCCTCATCAGTGTATGCCTTCTTAGAGATCTTCTCATGGAGTATCTTAGCTTCTGATTTTGCTAGTGTCATGTTCACCTCATCTCCCTCATATCGGTATGAGGTCACAAGAGGTAGCAAAAGCTGGTATATATGAATGTATTGCAGCACCAAGCCATCCACAATGTCAATGCATACAAACAATTCCATTAACCATAAAGCACAGGAAGACCAACAAGAATTAGAAAAGGTAAAATTCAGAAGACAATAAGAATCTCAAATAAACAGAAAAGACGGGCAAACTTAGAATTCCAGATGAAATGTTTCAAAGCTCAGAAACATAATCATTTTCATTTTCTAAAGTATTACAAGAATAGCTACAGAAGATTGATTCAACTGCCATTCTTCACCCAAGTAAGTTTAGTAACTTGGAACTGGCCTTTAGAAATTAGAAGTACTAGCATATTCTATCCACTAAAATCATTATCCTTTTAATTTTATAAATCACTAGTACTGGAAACTGAATTCCACCAAAGTAAGAGTTCAGGAAATCATTCTCATTTTCCTTTCAATCAAAAGTATATAACAATATAGTTTGTGATCTTGCAGTCCATCTGACCCAATTCATCAGGTCATCACAACCAAGCATACAGTTACTAATTCCAAAGAACACACAGTATAAATGTGGTCAGAAACCAATTTCATGTACTTATATATCAGCTCACCTCAAAATTCTGCCTGCATTCTGAGAGTGAAAAAAGTTACGAAAAATCAAGTATATTATTCTATGAACAACTGAAAATAAAAATTAGATTCCATGCAACATATAAGGAACTCAAGGAACAATTTTTTTTTTTTTTTTTTAAATCATAATCATAAACGTTGATATTTGCTTGAAAGGGTAAATGCTGATATTCTTGAAACCTACCTTGCGGAAGTCCCCAGTAGTGTGATGTGCAACATCCTCTTCAAGAGATTTCTTGTAACGAGCATGATAAGCTTGCCTTGCCTGAAGCAACTGATTTGAAGACCTTGTGCAGGCAATTTCCATAAGAACTTGATTGCTTGAAGTCCACCTCTTGGTGGCTTCATTAGCCAAAAACGCATCACGTTCAGCAGGATCTAGAGTCCAAAGCAGCACCACTCTCTGATGATAAAAAATTAGGTAAAACAAGTATGTCAGCCTCTTAAAACACCATGCTAAAACCTTACTCCACAAAATTTAGATCAGTACCATAAATTTTGATTTTATCAACTATACAACCAATCTCAAAGAAAGATAAGATCTATTTTGCCCTGTGTTCTGCGATGAATCCTTACAATAATCTATGAACAAGGCATTGAGTATATTTTACACCACAGTAGAACAGAAGTGCACTAAAAAACAGACCTCAAAGTCATTAGATAGTTCTTTGTCCAGCGCCTTGAGGAGATCTTCTCCATAAGTTTCAGCATATGTTTGTCGAATCAACTTACGTTGTGCAGCATTTCTATGAGCCAGGATGGATATGATCAGCCCCTCATTTGTTCCCCATCCTGCAATTGTACTTGATGTTAGAACATTTTCCAAGTTCAGTAACTAATTTCCATGGAACCATTTTTGGAGGCTCCAAGTTCAAAAATTCAGACAAACAGTTCCATCATCACAAATATCAATATGCTTTAATTTATAAGTAAAAACACTTATATTCCAGGAAAAAGATTATTCAAATCAGAGTCTATAATTATATAGCACTATGTGAATCAAATTACAGTAATGTACAATGAGAAATCGTAGTCTAAGACAGCAAACATGAAAAGTAACTTAAATAATGTTATATATAGCATCAGATCACCAAGAAACCAATGAGAATCCACCGGACAAAAAAGTTAACTTGGAAAAGCAATAGCTTAAAGATTAAAGGATTCTAACACCATCGATCATTACAATCATCCTTAGATCAAGCTTATTTGACGTTTAACATTCCAAACTAATATCTTCAACAAATTCATGTCACAATCAATTAAACTTCGCCATCGTTACAACAAAAAAAAAAAAAAAAAAAACACATTTCTTTGACAAATCATCTTTCCATCAATCAAAAAACAAAGATCTCACGTCAAAACCTCTGTATGAACTTTAATCTTAAAAAAAGATCATGCTCAACAGAAGAAAAAGAAACATAAAACATAAGAAAAAAAACCTACATAATATTGTCCCAAACCGATCATCGAGAAAATAAGATGACCGATCAGATCGTTGAAATGTGATGATCAAAATGAATCATGAAACATAAGTTTGATAGACAAAACAGAGGACTTATAAAAGGCGATTGGATAAAGAGGAGACCTGCAAAGGCTTTTCTTAGCTGCTCACAGTCTTCGGACAAAGAGGGAACTTGATTTGGAACGGTGAGAGTTGACATTGTAGCTCTGGTTATTTGCTTCACTTCTTCTTTCTCTCTGCGCTCGTAGAACCGAAAACTAAAATGACTAGTGAAGGAGACAAGTGAATCGCCTTTTTTTTATACACGAAAATGTATCTACGGGGATATGCCATGGCCTTCTCTTGTATTGCCACGTCAACATTCTCAAACTAGCCCTTTCTTTTTCTTTTTATAAATCGAACGAGCGGTTGTTCGCGAGTCAATATCTGATTGTCATATTGAGACGTGTGGACGGTTAAGATAACATGCTTATAATAAAAACTGTAGATTTTGATATGATCCCGAGGAATAATCATTAGATCCACAGATTAGCTAAAGTAGGCAACTATTAATGACAAATTAAATTAATAAATTTTAAAATTTAGGATATGATTCCCAGTGAAAATATAAGCGTCAAGCGATGCAATTATGACTTAAGAGTTAAATCATGGTGCATATAGGACAGCGCATGAGAGACCACCTTTTAAGACATTTATTCTTTTACCCCCAATCCAATTCTCTTGCTGTAGCTTTCATTGCTCAAGAACTTGGCCAAGCTACCTCTTCCAAGTACTACTGTTGAGAATATAGACAGAAACAAACAAAAATTCACGATATTTCGGTGTGGTATCTTAGTTAATGCTCTTATGTAATTTAAAATCTCTTTTTGGTCTTCAATGTCACCTGGACATAGAGAGTGAAATTGCTACAATATTCCCTGACAATAGTTGTGATCTATAAACACTTACAAATCCACACTTCCCGATGCAATACTTCTCATCAAAATTCTTTGTGGTACTCACGATTTCTTGGTACATTATTTTTCCATCCAAAATTAATATCGAAATAAATTCTTCCCTCTTCACATTGCCTTAGTAGTGCTAACATTTCGAAGCTACACATAGCACATTTCAGTTACCTTCATTGTGTAAGCTAGCATAGCAAAAATGAAAGAAAAATGAGATCATGATATACATCATCCATTTCCTATTAAGGTTACATTGAATAAGTTAAATGTCCTTACGACAATGCATGTGCCACATCTCTAAGACTTTGCCCCTTTCAAAATATGTTTTCTCTTACCCCAACTTAATTAGTTCTCTTGCTACTGCTTCACATCTCAAATTTTATTCAAGGAGAAAAAAAAAATTCTATGGTATCAAGATGATGTGGTACAACAAAACAATGTGTGCATGTCAAAAAATTATTAATACCTAAAAATTTTAAATTAATTTATAGATAAAAGTAGAGAAAAAAATTTCGATATCACAAAAATTCACAGGAGGATAATATGGATGATGTAATATCTCGTTATATTCTAGCTTTTTTCTTGTTTAAATTGCCCTTTTCAAGGTACTCATAAATTAATTGGACGTGCAAATCAATTGAATGACTGTCAGGGACGAAAACAAGTTTTTTTTTTTTTTTTTGTGGGAGGGCTAACAAAATTTAAAACTATACATAGAAAAATTAGCTTTGTTGATGTAAGAAGATTGTATGAATAAAAAAAAATACCTATTTAATATTGTGAACTTCACCACTTAGAATGTATAATTTATTTTGAATTGGGAGATGAATGAAGAAAAAACGCCTTCATGACAAATTAAACTTAAACTAATATCTGTTGAAATTGAAAACGTAGTTGCTTTGACTGTAAGAATTTAAAGAAATAGAGGAAGAGAGTTGCAGAAATAAGTGCAAAGATGATGCAAGGTTGAATTCTAACAATAGTTTTTGATATTTTTCCATGAATTCTGATTAGATTTTTTTTTTTTTCTTAATAAAAAGTGTTCATGAAGTTAACATATTAAATTATGTAAATATATTAAGTTATATTAAATAACATATAATATATTAATTATAAATTTAAAGATAATAACTTTTTAAATATAATTTTTCTGCAGCCCAGTGAGCCACCGTCTCGTTCCGTCCCTTACGATTGCGAGCACAATTAGCCTGCTCTTTCATAATCTCTGTTTGTCTGATGCGAGAACTTTGCAAGGTTGTAGTCTGCCAGGATCACCACACAATCCTCTTTCCCTTTTAATGCTTCTATTGACAAACAATTTTCAAGGTCAGTAAATTTGTTGAGTAATGCTAAGTCTACAATCCAATCTCATAACTTTCTCTCACAAACCTTGAGATGATAACTTGTCACTGGTCAGCTCGTAAAATGGTTCTCTTCTACCTATTTGCAAGCTAACCAATGACAAACTGTCACGGCGAAGATTGTGAGAGAAGGTTGTGAACCTAACATTATTGAAATTTGTTTGTTGAGAAATTCTATTCAGAAAAATTTTGTACAACCTGTTTATGTGGATGTATACTATCGTTGCTTATCCTCTGGCAGTGACAGATGTATGAATCATGTATGCTCAGACGCATTAAACTTGCATTCATTTATGAAAAACCATTTGTTTGCATATATGCGTGGCTGCGCTTAACACTCAACTTCCAGAGTTTAATTAGCAAATTAATTGTACACTGTTGATGCTTGATTTTGACACCAACTATTCGCATGTGTGAAATGCTAAAGAGACTTAGAAATCACCCGTCATATGAGGGAATTGAATTAAACAAAACATGAAGAGTAATATTTAAAGTGGTTCGAATGCTCAAAAGTGAATCCTACGTCTACTGCTATTATATTAATAAGAGAGAGAGGTCAGGTCACGTTCAGCGAGCTGAGTTACAATTTAGAGAGAGAATACAAGAGAGAGAGAGAGAGAGAGAGAGCTATTCCAGCGTAAAATTAGCTAATCCCCCCAAATGAGAGGGAAATCCTCTATTTATAGTGAGAGAGTTCAAGGTAATGATTATAAAAGCTGGAAATGGGTAGGTGCCGTGTAAATCCTTTCTTTGCGTCCCATTGGTCACCTGCCCGGGGGATTTCCTCGATTAAAGCAGGGCATTGACACGCGGGTGATCTCCAACCACTTGCTGGCCAACACTCACCTGCTGCACCGACAGGAGTCATACCACTTGCACCAGGTGCGACGTGGCCGCACTTGGACGACACAGAACCCTTCTGAGCTCTGACCATCCTTTACTGACGAGGCTTCATGGCAGCCCTACTTTTCCAGACATAACAGAAGTCTCCTAGTTTTTCAGGTTTAAGGATCGAACCTTGAGAACTTCATAATTATGCCATGATTTGACATATCCCACATGACGCCTGGTCGAGCCAACCCGGCTACAAGGAGGTCGCAAAACATTTTTCTACAAGCGATCTGAGATGGTCTTCTTCAGCGAAGTTGACGACCTGGATTAGACCCTACTCAGTGCCGTATCGATGCGTCTCTTATCTTAACCAAGGTCCTTGACCTGATTACACTTAGCAGATTTCTGCTGGAGGCAAGGAATCAGATCATTCTGCAACCTACATGTGACGAAGAGTGTTCTATTCCAACTACCTCTTCAGATGTTATATGTTGCGCTTGACAGCTAATCCATTAAAGAAGTATCCTTTATTCTGACAAACGTGTCCTGTGCACAATAAGTGCCAGCCATGCGCCTTAAATGCGAGCCATACTGAAACGACATTCTTTATCAGGGCATTAAATGCGGATGAGAGCACATTTAATGTGGAGAAGAGAATCAAGTCGTCGTTCGATTATTTCAACAGAGAGAAGCGACGATTGAATTTCTCGAGCCATACTGAAACAACATTAAGCGACGATTGAAAATGCGAGCCACACTGAAACGACATTCTTTATCAGGGCATTAAATGCAGATGAGAGCGCATTTAATGTGGAGAAGAGAATCGAGCCGTCGTTCGATTATTTAAACAGAGAGAAGCGACGATTGAAGTTCTCAAAGTGTGGCGATTACTCCTTCTCGCCGATTGATGACACATGGTCGTAATCAACGGCGAGAGATGCATTCCACCCAAATGTCGCTTGGCTTCGAGAAGACCAATCACCATTTCCTCCACTATAAAACCCTAGGCTAGCCTTAAGCAATGTCACAACATTCCTACTTTCAGGAAAAGCAAAAAGCTCTCGCTAGACTAGATTTTCAATCCTTCAAGTTGGTACGCACTTTCTGTTCATAGCAAGAAGTTCACCCTCTATAGCCAAGAGGTAAGGAAGATCCTTCCATTACTTATCATTTTTTCTGCTTTGAATGTAGCTTATTCAGGCGATAATGGTGTTTATGGCTAGTCTTCTATAAAGAATAGGTTTTTAGGGGACGAATCATTGGGGGTGGTCCCAAAGGATTTTTTAGGGTTTTTGGAAGATACATTAGGGTTTTGTTCTTCCATGTCGTCATACAAAATTATGTACGGAGACTGAGTAATCTCTGCGTGTCCCCCTTTTTCAGACTGTAGAAGAGATGAACCCTACAATGACCAGAACAAATGACGGGACGAGCTCGCAGGCGCAGGATGCCCCAGCGGGTTCTTCATAGGAGATTCTATCACTGGTCACCCTGGAGGAGATACAGAGGATGGTAGACTAGTACGCACTTAGCGTAGACGTAGTCCAGTACATGTCGTACATAGTTGAAATTCCCCCAGAGGGAATGGCCATGGTCTCCGAGTCCATTTTCAAATGCGGGGCATTAATTCCTTTCCACCCCTTTATTAGGTCGATCCTCGATTACTTTGAGGTCGCACCTCTACAGCTGACTCCGAATGCATATATGATAGTCGTGGCTATGTATATCGCGTGCGCCAAGAATGGCCTCGGCCAACTAACTGCGCTAGAGCTCGCTTGCTCGTATTACTTGAAGAAGAGCAAGGATGAAGATTCTTATTACCTCTTAAAGCGATCTTCGATAGAGAGAGACATCTTTAATTACCCCAGTAATGTCGAGGCGTATAAGACTAAGTTTTTATTTTTTCATTACGATGGCGTCTACCAATTCAGGGAACTGAGTAGGTCTTCCCTTCTTGTACTTAGTGAATTTTTTCTTTTCTGTTTGGCTTTGCTTTCTAACGATCTTTCTTGTCTCTTCACAAGAAACAAGTTGACCAGTTGACAAATCTCACTGACTTCAACCAAATAGTATCATTCAGTAACCTATCAGATTATTGTCGCGACGCGAAACTACTCGTGACAACTGCAAATTTGAGGAAGTACGG